GTATATAACTGTGTGTTTCTGATGTAAACGCCTGTTGGCCTCTGTTTCTTGAACATCTCCTTGTGTCCGTCCAAACCACTCGCTCTAACCACTAACATAAAAACAGATCAAGGGTTCCCAATCTCCGGGCTGCGGGATGCACCAATTTTCATTGAATTTATTATCTGATTTTGAAGAATGTTGTTTGTTGTTCTCTTAAGGACCGCTGCTCTATAGAGTTTGTAAAGTCTGTAGTTTTGAAAGAATCCATCGCACTGTGCAACATTAGAGTCAAAACAATAAAAAAGGTAAAGTGAAAAATCCAGGAAAAATTGAACTCACTCTAAACAGACCAATCACGTCACGATTACCTCTGTGTTTGCTTCTGTAGTGATCCAGAGTTCAGTGGACCATCCAGTGTGAACGTCCGGAATCTAATCTCTCATGTTGAACCCAGAGTTCCATCTCAGACCAGGGGCCGCATGAGGAGCCCATCCCAGACACAGAGCACCTGTGCTGGGCTAAAAATACCACCGAGGTCCTGACGATGGATGTCTTCCTGCTCCTCTCGCCGCTCCAGCGTCTCCGTGCACACAGCGTGGGTTGCCCGGAGCTGAGAATCAACACCCCCGCTCCCCTCCATGTGTTCAGCAGCGCCCTGGTTCGGACTCATCCCTGGATGAGCCCGCTGGTTCCGGCCATGGACACCGAGCGCCCTCTCCGCGGCTACGTCCACTCTTCGCCCCGACTACTTTGATTGTTGGAGATTCTATCGTGAGACATGTCCGCTTTTTTAACGCGGTCACTCGCTGTTTTCCCGGAGCCACTGTTCCAGACCTGCTCATCCGTCTCCCTCCTCTGCTTCAGTCCCTGCCTGATACCATTTCAAAGGTAATCGTGCATGTGGGGATCAACGACATGAAGCTGCAGCAGTCCGAGGTCACAAAGAAGCATTTTATGGATCTATTCCGCCTCCTCCAGTCCTCCGGGTTGTGTGTTTTTATTTCTGGTCCAGTCCCGACTGTAAAACGGGGGGACTGCCTCTACAGTCGCGTAGTGGCGTTGAACATGTGGCTCCAGTCTGCATGTAGCTTGTTTAACTTTATTTTTGTGAATAACTTTGGCCTTTTCTGGAAGCGTCACGTGGCTTATCGTCCAGACGGTCTGCACCCAAATAGATATGGCACCAGCTTGTTGACGGATTACTTACGCCACGTTATTCAGTGTTCCCCGAGGGGGGCGTGACTGTTTACATAGGAGCCCCCACCACCACCACCCTCCTCCTTCTTCTCCTGCTCACCAGCACCGGGTGAGTACTGTGGTGCAAACACTGACCCCTTTCCGTCTGGCAGTGAAATAACAGTCTCGCCTCTGAACCGTGCTGCCTCCTGCTCTAAACAACGAAGCAATGCCGTCCTGAATCCGGGACTTACACAGCAAAAGAGTTCACATGTTAGACAAATAGAAACTGTGTGTGTTCCTCGCATCAGTTTCAAAAAATGTTTTTATTTGAATGGAAAACAAAATCATAACAGAAGGACAGCAGTTAGACATTCAAATCTAATTCCTGCTCCTTGTAAAAATCAACTAACTAAACCCACTGTTACTGATATTAATTTTAAAATTGCTATGCTTAATGTCAGATCACTGTGCAACAAATCATTTTTAATTAATAATTTTATCCGTTCTTATGATCTTGATTTTATGTTTCTGACTGAAACTTGGCTTGACCAGAGTACAGGTAATGCGGTTTTAATAGAAGCAACGCCACCAAACTTCAAATTTGAATCTGAAATACGAGAAAATAAAAGGGGGGGAGGCATTGCTGCATTATTTAGAGATCATATTATCTCTCATAGAATTCTCCTTGGAAATTTTCTATCATTTGAGTATATTTCTTTTAAAATAGAACAAAAACAATCTCCTTCTATTCTTATCATTGTCCTGTACAAGCCACCGCAGTCTTGTCACAATTTCTTTGATAATTTCACTGAGTTGCTTTCAGTTGTTTGCACCGATTTTGATAGTTTAGTGATTACAGGTGATTTTAATATTCATGTGGATAATGGCAATGACAAAAATGCAAAAGAGCTGAGTTCTGTACTTGAAACATTTGGTCTCACTCAGCACGTGAGTGGCCCCACCCACAGCAAAGGGCACACTCTAGACCTGCTGGTTACAAAGGGGGTTAATATTTTAAATGTAAATGTGGTTGACGTGGCTCTGTCAGATCACTTCTGTGTATTTTTTGACATGTGTTTTGATAGTAAACAACCATATATATCTGAATCTGCAATTGTCAGACACAGACACATAAATGAAAACACAACCGAACTATTCATGGGGAATGATAAACTTTGAGAACACATTGTGTTCTACTGTTGACGAATTGTTTAACTCTGTCACCGCCAATGTTATAAATGTTCTGGACATCATCGCTCCTGTGAAGGTTAAAATGATTACAAATAAGCCAAAGGCCCCCTGGACTAAAATGGACTCAGTCATGGTACAGAAGAGAGAGTGCCGTAGGGCCGAGCGGAAGTGGCAAAAATCCAATCTCCAGGTTGATCATGAGATCTTCAAAAATGAGTTGTGCAAGTTTAACAGGGTGCTACGTAGAACAAGAGAAATTTATTTTTCTAAAACCATTGATGGCTGCAATAATAATCTACGACTTATGTTTTCAACAGTTAACGGATTAACAAACCCCCCTGTTCAGCTGCCATTCGAATTTGCTTCAGAATCTAAATGTAATGAGTTTGCACAATTTTTCAATGACAAGGTTCAGAGCATCAAAAACGCCATCACCTCCAAGGCAGAAATAACATTACAACAGCCGGTGAGGCTGTTTGAGCTATCGCACTTTGCACCAACAGATAATGAAACTGTCCAAGATGTTGTCTCTAGCCTTAGTTCCTCCACATGTAGCCTGGATGTACTACCCACTAAATTTTTTAAGTCTGTTTTGAGCAGTCTTTTACCTTTGCTCACACAAATAGTGAACATGTCTCTTTCATCTGGAACATTTCCAATGGCCCTGAAAACGGCAGTCATCAGACCCCTCCTAAAAAAGAGGAGTCTAGATGCCACAGTTCTTAAGAATTATCGCCCCATTTCAAATCTGCCGTTTATGGGAAAAATTCTGGAAAAAGTTGCTTACCAACAACTTACAGAATTCTTAGTAACTAATAGTTCCTTTGATGCGCTCCAGTCCGGCTTTAGAGCCAATCACAGCACTGAGACTGCACTAGTGAAGGTTACAAATGACATCCGACTTAACACCGACACAGGAAAAGTCACAGTTTTAGTAATGTTGGATCTGAGTGCTGCGTTCGACACAGTCGACCACGAGATCCTCATGCAGAGACTAGAGCACTGGGTGGGTGTCACTGGGACTGCCCTAAGTTGGTTTAGGTCTTACCTAGAAGACAGGAAATACTTGGTTCAGATAGGAAACTGTGTCTCAGATCATATGGCTCTGACCTGCGGAGTGCCACAGGGATCAATTCTGGGGCCTCTTCTGTTCAATATTTACATGCTGCCATTAGGTCAGTTAATACGCTCCAACAATGTATCCTACCACAATTACGCTGATGACACTCAAATTTATGTCTCACTTACTCCAGGAGAACATGGACCAGTGGAATCACTCCTTCACTGTACTCAACAGATTAGTGATTGGATGCAAAATAACTTCCTTCAGCTAAACGCAGACAAAACAGAATTGATTGTCTTTGGCCCTCAGAAACAAAGAGAGAGCGTTATTTGTCACCTCCAGTCTCTCTCCCTGGAACCTGTAGGCAAGGTCAGAAACCTAGGAGTTATAATGGACTCAGACTTAAATTTTAACAGTCATATCAAATCAGTAACATCAGCAGCATTTTACCATCTGAAAAACATTGCCAAAATTAGAAACATAGTGTCTAAATCAGATCTGGAGATTCTCATCCATGCATTTGTCTCCAGTAGGTTAGACTACTGCAATGGCCTGCTCACAGGTCTCTCCAAACAGGCTGTAAAACAACTGCAGTATGTCCAAAATGCTGCAGCTCGAGTCCTGACCAGGACCAGGAAATATGACCACATTAGTCCAGTTCTCAGGTCTCTGCACTGGCTTCCTGTGGCTCAGAGAATAGACTTCAAAGCAGCACTGCTTGTGTACAAGTCTCTCCATGGCCTCGCACCAGGGTACTTAAGCGACTTGTTAGTCCCATATGAACCGGCCCGGACTCTGAGGAGCACAGGAGGTAGCCTCTTACTGGTTCCAAGAGTCAGAACTAAACATGGGGAGGCAGCGTTTGAGATTTATGGAGCTAAAATCTGGAACAATCTTCCTGAAGATGTGAGGCTAGCATCTACTCTGGCAATTTTTAAATCAGGGCTAAAAACTGTTCTTTTTAGCTGTGCATACGGCTGAAGGATTTTATTTTATTGATACATACTCTTTTTTTTTTTTTTTTAATGCATTGTGGTTATTTATTATTTTAATCCCGTGTGTGCTTTTAATATTTTAAGGTTTTTTTTTTTGTTTTGTTTTTTTTTCTCCATTACTTGTGATTTTATTCTGTTTTTAATGTATTTATTGATGTCTCTGATTTGTCTGATATTATGTGGGTTGTGAGGCGCTTTGAGTGGCCTTGTGTTGGAAAGGCGCCATACAAATAAAGTTGATTGATTGATGAATGAATGAACCCACACACACACAAGTGAATTGTCGTAGCATGTAGCATGATAGTACACATGTTATTTGGTTTTCATTTGGAAATTATTCAATATCACCTCATTGGTCAAAATGATGTGTTTGATTTTCTATATAATGAGATTATAATTTAATGAGAATGACTTTGCTTTGTTGTTAAAGGCTGCAGAGTTTCATTATATATCAGTTTCAGCTGGTGGTGTGACATGTGATTGTTTAGAGATTAAAAAAGTGCCATGGCTCAAAAACTCTGGGGAACACTGGCTTTGGTCATCAGATTGAAAGTAACGTATATGAATAATTCATACCTTTATGCTTTTAGTACCCATTATCCCAGCAATCCTCTACTCCTTGAAGTATCCAGAAAACAGCACAGACCGACCATCTCTGTCCAACTACACAACAAGTGCACCTTTCCAGGACTCTGAAGCGGCCATCACCCCCACGTCTGGCTCCAGCTCCAGGAGCAGGAACCCACAGCAGAATCAGACCTCCAATTCTTCTGTGAGTCCTCTCTGCAAAAGCGACACCAGCTTTAGATCTGTTTCTGTTAGAGTGACCAGATTTAATTTAATGTATGCGATTCACCTATTTTCGTCTGGAGCACTAAAGAAGAAAATAGAATGAATTAGTGATTGAACTTCCACGATATGAATGCATTGGCGACTTGCGTTGTTTCTGTGTCCCATTAAAGACGTAATATGAGAAAGTATGTAACTGTAACAGAATACAGTTACTCAAAAAGAGTATTCTGAATATGTTTTATTTTTATTTATTTATTTATTTGACAGGGACAGTACAAAAAAAATTGGGCCTCATTCACGAACCGTTCGTTAAGAACAAATTTGTACGTAAAGCCTACTTACGAGGATTTTACGAAGATTGTGGCGTTCATGAATTTTTCTCGTATCCAGAATTTCTCTGAGCTAAGTACAAATCCTACGAGTGCTCAGGAGCACTCTTAAGCACATTCAGTGCCGACATGTTCGCACACTGGTGTCTTCTTTTGTGAAAGAAAGAAAGTTAAATGTGTCAACGCTTTATGAAATACATTGGAAATCATGCCATCTATTATTGACCCCATCCTATTTATAGGGGGCATTTCTTTATCCACAGGCCACAAAACAATGGCATATACTGTATACTGCTGCTGCAGATTGCGGGCTCCGCGCTGATCTGTCCCATGGATATATACGGGTCCGCGCTGGTCTCCTCGTGCTCGCGCTGGTCTCTCCAGTCTACGGTCTCTCCAGTCTACGGTCTCTCCTTGGTCCCCGCTGGTTTCTGCGTGCTGGTCTCTCCTCGGGTCTGCATTGGTCTCAGCGCTGGTCCGCGCTGGATCTCCTCCCAAGGTTAAAAATATTTTGAGATTAAGCTCATAACATTTTGAGATTCATATTCAAATTAATACATAATATATTTTTAAATTAATCTCATAACATTTTTAGATGAATCTCCTAATATTTATAGAATTATCTCATAATTTTGCTAGTTCGTCTTTATTCTCATAATATTTCGACTTTAAAGTCAAAATGTTATGACTTTGTTCTCATTCGGACAAAAGAAGAAAAAAGGGTGACTCTTTTGCTCCGTGTAATGGTGCTTTTATGGTGCTTTCAAGCCGCGTTCAGACCGGATCATGCGTTGCATCTGCTTTCAATGCAAAGTCTATGGTGACGCGCGTTCGACCGTCAAAACGCATGGACCTCTCGGCACGCACAAACGGACTGTTCAGTAGACACGCACGGACTTGGCGGGAAAGTCAAAGGGGAGGAGCAGGAGCGAAAAATTGACGCCCACAGGAGATGGATTCTGCTCATCCTTTCCTTGGGATGTTTGTGCGACAACCAATCAGAGCCGCAAAGTGGTCCCGGGGACATTAGCGGACTGAGCGAGCAGACTGAAAATACTCGTAAACAGCCAATACAGGACCCACAGGCTTCACCAGAACTCAAACCAGGGGTGACAATGGGGGACTGTGTGCTTGTGAAAATATGCGTTGTCATGCTCCCGTGACCTTATGCAACTGCTTTGAGTGTGTTCGCCGATGCGGAAATACCGTTGAATAATATGAAAAAACGTATGGTGCACCTCCGTGAACACATACTACTATTATATAAAGCCTGTGGAAGGTCTCTGTTCAAAGACACGCTGCAAAGCTGCATGTTGGAGAAGATCTGTACACAAGAAGCCGCTAGCATAGCTCTGTTAGCATTAGAGCCGGCCGGCTACTTCCGGTACTTTCGGCTCGCGTGAGGACATTCTGGTGTGAAGACCCCTGTGTCTGAAAACTAGAGAATGTGCGTCTGGTGAGCGGGGCTTCTGCGTTTCAGCGTTGCCGGTCTAAAACACCAAAAAGGTGCATTCAGACCGCAAACGCACCATAGACTTTGTTTGAGCGTTTGCGGTTTGAACGCGGCATCAGACCGGATCATGCGTTGCGTCGGCTTTCAATGCAAAGTCAATGGTGACGCGTGTTCGAGCGTCTAAACGCACAAACGTCTCGGAATGCACGCACTCACCGCGCTGGGAAGTTGAAGGGGAGGAACGCAGGAGATGAATCTTGCTCAACCTTTCCTCGGGACGTTTGTGCAGCAACCAATCAGAGAGCCGCAAAGTGGTCACGGGGACATTAGCGGACTGAGCGAGTAGACCGAAAATACTCGTAACAGCCAAAACAGGAGCTACACCAGGACTAAACCAGGGTTGACAATGGTGGACATCGTGGTTGTTAACATGTGAGTTTTTATGCTCCCGTGACTTTATACAACTGCTTCGAGTGTGTTCGCCGATGCGGAAGTACCGTTTAACAATAAAATAAACGTATTGCGTTACCTCCGTGAAGACATACTACTGTTATATAAAGTCCGTGGAAGGTCTCTGAACACAGACACGCTGCAAAGCTGCATTACTGGAGAAGATCCGTACACAAGAAGCTGCTAGATAAACTCTGTTAGCTTCAGAGCCCAACGGCTACTTCCGCCACTTCCGGCGCGCGCCAGGACTTCTGGTCTGAAGACCCCTGCGTCTGAAAACTAGAGAATGTGCGCTTCACCGTTGCCGGTCTGAAAGCACCATTAGACATGTTGCTGTTTCCTCTGGCGTCTGCACTCTGCCTTGCAGTCCCTTTTATGGGCATTATTGGGCGGTTACCTATGCTAAGTGCCTATGCCCAGTGACGTGAAGGTAAAGGGCCAGTCATCAAGATGGTGCTCGAAAGCACTATGGTGTGTGTGGACAAGAGTGAATACATGCGTAATGGAAATACGGTAATTTTTGTCACCTGGCACGCGCGCTCTTCTTACGAGGAGTTGGCATTCATCAATCTAGAGAACAACTGCAAACAATTTAGCGGCTTACGGGCGCGTTGATAAATCCCACGTAGGGTCTTCTCAGAAATCTACTTGAGAACGACTTGAGAAGAAATTTAAGAAGATTCTTAATAAGATATTGGTGAATGAGGCCCATTGTCACCCACAGGTAACCAATGTCAAGTACACAAGGCTTCTAGCCAAAGACTAATGAAAATAATACAGTGCCTTGTGAATGTATTTGGCCCCCTTGAACCTTTCAACATTTCGCCACATTTCAGTCTTCACACATAAAGATTGAATCAACAACAGGTGGGACACAATTGTGAAGTGGAACGAAATTTATTGGATAATTTAAACTTTTTTAACAAATAAAAAACTGAAAAGTGGGGCGTGCAATATTATTCGGCCCCTTTACTTTCAGTGCAGCAAACTCACTCCAGAAGTTCAGTGAGGATCTTTGAATGATCCAATGTTGTCCTAAATGACTGATGATGATAAATAGAATGCACCTGTGTGTAATCAAGTCTCGCACCTGCTCTTTGATAGTCTCAGGGTTCTGTTTAAAGCGCAGAGAGAACCATGACGACAAAGGAACACACCAGGCAGGTCAGAGATACTGTTGTGGAGAAGTTTAAAGCCGGATTTGGATACAAAAAAATTTCCCAAGCTTTAAACATCTCAAGGAGCACTGTGCAAGCAATTATATTGAAATGGAAGGAGTATCAGACCACTGCAAATCTACCAAGACCCGGCCGTCCCTCCAAACTTTCATCTCAAACAAGGAGAAGACTGATCAGAGATGCAACCAAAAGGCCCATGATCGCTCTGGATGAACTGCAGATAACTACAGCTGAGGTGGGAGAGTCTGTCCATAGGACAAGAATCAGTCGTGCACTGCACAAATCTGGCCTTTATGGAAGAGTGGCAAGAAGAAAGCCATTTCTCAAAAGATATCCATAAAAAGTCTCGTTTAAAGTTTGCCACAAGCCACCTGGGAGACACACCAAACATGTGGAAGAAGATGCTCTGGTCAGATGAAACCAAAATCAAACTTTTTGGCCACAATACAAAATGATATGTTTGGCGTAAAGGCAACAGAGCTCATCACCTTGAACACACCATCCCCACCTCAGCTGTAGTTATCTGCAGTTCATCCAGAGTGATCATGGGCCTCTTGGCTGCATCTCTGATCAGTCTTCTCCTTGTTTGAGATGAAAGTTTGGAGGGACGGCCGGGTCTTGGTAGATTTGCAGTGGTCTGATACTCCTTCCATTTCAATATAATTGCTTGCACAGTGCTCCTTGAGATGTTTAAAGCTTGGGAAATCTTTTTGTATCCAAATCCGGCTTTAAACTTCTCCACAACAGTATCTCGGACCTGCCTGGTGTGTTCCTTTGTCTTCATGGTTCTCTCTGCGCTTTAAACAGAACCCTGACACTATCAAAGAGCAGGTGCATTTATACGGAGACTTGATTACACACAGGTGCATTCTATTTATCATCATCAGTCATTTAGGACAACATTGGATCATTCAAAGATCCTCACTGAACTTTTGGAGTGAGTTTGCTGCACTGAAAGTAAAGGGGCCGAACAATATTGCACGCCCCACTTTTCAGTTTTTTATTTGTTAAAAAAGTTTAAATTATCCAACAAATTTCATTCCACTTCACGATTGTGTCCCACTTGTTGTTGATTCATGACAAAAAATTAAAATGTTATATCTTTATGTTTGAAGCCTGAAATATGGCGAAATGTTGAAAGGTTCGAGGGGGCCGAATACTTTCGCAAGGCACTGTAACTGGCCCCATTTGTCCAGACTACATCCAGTATGTGACATAACGGCGTTAAATGTATTCCGTTACTTCCAAACACTGCTTGTGCTCCACAGTGCTGCCAAATTGATGGAGAATTGTTGCGACGTGAGAACTTCGAGGTGGGGGTTCTTCTTGGATCGAAAACTGCCACTCAGCTCCTCACCAACCCTCTTGTAGGACCCCTCACCAACAGGTACAAGTCCCTGAAGAAATACTACTTTACAGACCAAATAAACATGGCTTACTTGAAAGACAATATTTGACAGTGTATATACTTATTTAAATTGTTACTACTCCGGCTCAAGAGTAGTAACATTGAGGGGAAAGCAAACAAAAACGAATAAGTGTATGAAGTGATGTAGGTGACAATCAAGTATACATTCAATTAAATTGAAACAACAAACAAGTTTTTTCAATTCAATTTCAGCTACTCTTGGAGGCCGTCTGGTGACTACTTAGTCCGCTTATAGGGTAGGGCCGGCCCTGCAACAATAGTTAACTGTTACTAAAGATATTTACAACAGTTCTTCTTTTGAGTGTTTTCGTCTTTGTTTGGAAACCTCACATAAGATGTAATAGCTTTACACTTTTAACCTGGTTTGCTCTTAGTTCAAACCTGGATTTATGTTTGTAGGATTGGATTCCACATCCCCATTTGTACTGGATTCGTCATCATGTTCGTCGCCTCCCTCAGTGAGTCTTTCTCAGAACTTGTATACACTCCAGGGAAACAGGGAAAATGGGCTTTTCATAAATCATTATTGACTCCCTGTTACTTGCTGTATTATGTTTTCAAGAAGGGGCAGGATGTGTCCTCTTTACTAATTTACCCAAAAGGTGCAATTGAAATGTTAATAAGCAAACGTATGATTTTAGCTTGGGTCATATACTCCCAAAAACTCTACAGGGCATAATGACATATGTAGCGTCTTTGAATGTATTTATAAAATGCATATAAAACGCATTGTTATTCATTATTAGTGCTCCTACATCTTATAAAATCCCAAAATAAGAAATTACATTACTTTCTTCAAGAAGGGAACATTAAAAGATTAAAGTGAAAAAAAAAATATGTTTTGAAATGAGAAGTTGCAGTCTCACAGAAGTGTGATTGTATGACAGCCGGTTATATTTGGTTTTTGTGCATTGTTAGTCGACTTGGTGATAATTTAGAGCTGGTTAAACATATCAAAACTGTACACCTGACCCATTATTCTGAAATACCTTTTAGAGCAGTGGTTATCGACTAGATATGTCAGAGGGCCAGAGTTTTACCAGACAGGCTCCTCTGTGGCTGGACCCCCAATGAAAACATTAAATCAGATTCAGATTCATTCATCTTCCCCTTTATTATTCAATTTCTGGGTAAAGAGGGTGGCAATCAGAGCTGCCACCCAATTCTCATAGATTCAGATTTTTTGCCATTTGTAGTAAAACCACATTGGAATACATCCACAAAAGTCCCTAGGGTGCAGACAAGTACATAAACAAAACAAGGTTAGAAGTAAAGAATTAAAATAAAACAAAACAGTAAGAAATTAACACTGTGAAATCGATCAACTGAAACAGTTTAAATTTGTGCAAGATCAAGTGCCTTGTTTAAACTGATAACAGCTTGTGGAGAGACGCTGTTATCAAAACGAGATGTCCTGCATCTCAACGAACGATATCTTCTGTCAGAGGGAAGAAGCTGGAACATTGCTTTTCCAGGAGTCATTTATTATCATTAATAATAAATGTTTTGTTTTTTCAAGATCCTCATAATTTTGGAATGCAGTCGCTGGATCGAGCACCAGTTGATGATCAGTGTTTTAGAGCTTTTAACCATATTATAATTATTTTCTGGGTTGTCGTGGCTATCTTGCACGGCTAGTACACCTCCTCTTTAATTGACTTCTTGCTGACCTTGTTACAGCGCAGTGGGTAATTGGTAGTGGGTATTGTTGCATCGCAAATGCATTTCTCTAATAATAATAATGTTGACATTCTGCGGCTGCCTATTGTATTTCCTTTATGATTTGTTGTCCTATATAATAGGAATGTATATCAGATAAAAGCACAATATCATCGTGTTTTCGATTTTTTTCTGTAGTGTTTGCATTTGCCCAGAGCTATGCTCTGCTGCTTGTTGCACGATTGCTGCAGGGAGTAGGATCCTCCTTCAGCTCAGTGGCAGGTACTGTATCTTTTACTTCTACTGCTACGGCCACGACTACAACTATGACTACAACTACTACAACTACTACTACCACTACTACTGCTACTACTATTACCACTACTACTACCTGTGTTGCAGGTTTGGGATTGCTGGCCACTGTTTTCCTTGATGATGTGAAGCGTGGTCAGGCTATGGGCGTGGCTCTTGGAGGGCTGGGTCTGGGAGTTCTCTGTGAGCATCATTGTTTGTATTCTGCCCCAAACTTAGAGCTGGGGTTGATGACTGTAAATGTGATCAAATCCATCTAACAAGTTCCTAACTCCCAAAACACTTTTACTTGTTTTCCACAAGCTTGTACTTTTTTAGCCCCTGTCACATCTTTAGATCAATCTATTCAGACAGAAAAGTGAAAAAGAGAGGACCTTTGTGGCTAGACCAAAGTGTCAAATATTAAAGGTAGATCGTACTACTGCTAAGTAGGGGTGTGACGATACTTTCTCCCGCGATTTGATTATCGATATGCATTTACCAAGTATCGATATCAATTTTGAAATTTTATTTTTTTTTTAATTGAATTTTTAATTTTTTTAGAATTGGTATCAATACTTAATATATGGCTACATTACGCATCTCCATTCTATTTATCATAAAATAAAGAGTAGTTTTTCTTTTATTTATGCCATAAATTGGCATATTGTATATTTCTAACCAATATATCAATAATCGTCATATCGTGATAAAATCGTTATCGTGATATTGTTATCATGAGCTTTGTATCGTGTATCATATCGTATCGTGAGGTACCCTTAGGTTCCCACCCCTACTGCTAAGTAGCAATTTCAAATATGTGCCATTTTTTGTGTCCTCTGTAGCAAACAGCCATACAGATTCAAGTAGAATACATGTGTCTGTATTTTTGCTGGTGTACAAAAAATAAAGAGTTTTGAAGCATCAGTATGTGTAGAGGATCTTTTAATGTAATCACACTGTTTTCAGGTGGTGGTCCATTTGCCAGTGTGATGTATGAGTTTGTGGGGACGAACTCCCCTTTCCTGGCTCTGGCGGCACTGGCTCTGTTGGGCGGAGGTGGGTGAACCTATCAAGTAATGTGATTAATTTCTTTACATTGTTTTGTATTTTCTATGCTCCTCAGCCCTGCAGTTCTGTATTCTGAAACCGACCAAGATCTCACCAGAGGTGAGTTCACATAATATATTTTTGTGGTGGGGAAAGAAACAATATGGCGGACATATTTTGGATGAAGTGAAGAGGACTAAGGAAGGTCAGATTTAGAAAGATGAAAAATGAAGAGTAGGGCTGTAATAATTTAAAATTCAAAAGGGTCTTTTAATGAAACAGGAAGCTGAAACCATGAACACAGGTACAGCTCAAAACTTTGAGCATTGTGAAAAACATAAAATACTTATAACCCGGGTTACATTTGTCAGGCTTGTTTTTCTTGTAATTTTGATGATTATGGCTTGACTGACGACAAATATAGGACTTTTTCACAAAATATAGATGCCCTTAAATGCTTTTATTGTGTGATGGATTGAATGAATCAAACCTGTAATAGTGTAAAGATGTGAAATTGTGTTTTGCAGGTTTAAAATAAATCAAACTAACTGAATTTGAAACTGTGTATAACAAATGTAAATCGTCTGCTTTAAAATTTTGCAGAGCATTAAAGGAACAGCATTTCTCACACTACTCAGAGACCCATACATCCTTCTCGCTGCAGGTACAAGGACTGAACCAGGGTTGACCTAGGACTGAACCAGGACTGATTCGAGACTTGACCATCTCAACAAGGGACAGGAGGAGGTCTTAGAGGACCAATGGCAGCCCTTGCAGTCTGTCTTCCCCTGACATAGGCCCTCCGTGTAGGCTATTCATTGTATTCTTCATACAAATGAAATACAACAGTTTATAGATTAGAGATATGTTTCTGCCTGCATAACTAGTTGTCCTCACGGCTCACGCCTCCATAACCATGTAAACAAGTACAAAAGTCCTATAGTTTGGTGCTTGTCCAGTTTATTATTAACAAAAACAGTTCTACACCTTTCTTGTTCAAAGTTATCTATTTCAATATTGGGAGAATATCAAAACAAATTGTGAGTTTGGCGGCTCTGAAAGGCCGTTAAATGGGGGTCTCTCAAGAAAAGGGGACCTCGACTCTTGCCTGTAATAGTGCCAGCTCTGACCAGGACTGAACTAGGACTGAGACACAGACTAAACCAGGATGAAACCTAGACTGAACTCTGCCCCTGTCTGCAGGTGCTCTCTGCATGGCTAACATGGTGATGACAGTTCTGGAGACCACTCTGCCCATCTGGATGATTATGACAATGTCTGCTCCTCAGTGGAAGATTGGTGCGTAACGTCCACACACATACAAAGTAAATTAGTCACACCAGAAATATCAAATAAATGGCCTTGTCTAAAAGAACAATGGTTAAAACATTTCAATTAGATCAAACCAAAGAGGCTTTCAAATGCCCAATGTAAATACCAGCTAAAAAAGAGATTTGTTTGAGTGTGTACTCACTCTAACTCTACTATCTAATCTAACGCTCTATGTATAAGAAATAAAACATGAGATAGATAATAAAGATATTATACATAGAGAATGAACAATAGCTATACACTGTATTTGTTACGTCAGTTGCATCTTTTGCTGTAACTGCATTGTTCCTGGTAACATAAATATAAAATATTGTGGCATGTATTATACTGTAGTTTGTGCTGCAGGTCTCTTCTATGTCCCAGGCTGCCTGGCGTACTTAATTTCCACAAACCTGTTTGGAAAACTTGGCGAAAGAATTGGACGGTTTGTATACAACCACACACCCGGATACACTCTTCTACAGTCATTAAAGTCCCTTCTGTCCTGATGCACATTATGGCTTTTATCTCAGACAAAGAAAAGAAAAAAAACATTCAATTGTTATTATTATTTTCTCTTGAAGGAGAAAAACATTGTTTAGTTTCAGGCGTGTTACCTTCAAGGTCTGACGAGGGTCGTGACAGGTGAGAACGACCATAAAATCCGATATTGAAGGTTAAATGTGCGTGCACTGTGCAGGTGGCTGTGCGCCGGGCTCGGGATGATCCTGATGGGAATCATCGTCTGCTGTGTGAGTCATTTAAACATTGATTGAGCTGTTTGTATTTCACGTTCCTCTGATTCAGGGCAGTCAAACTCATTTTGGTTGAGGGACAAAAGCATTCCTTTTCTTATAGTTATTTTTGACAAATTACCTTTGACATGAGTTTGTATTGTCTATGTTCTGGCAACAAAGTAGGTGTACTGTTTGGATTGAAACAAAACTGGACCAAATATAATGTAATTGAAGTCAAAAGGGGCGTCAGTGCCTCAGTTGGTAGAGCATTGGCCTTTGGGCCTGAAGGTTGCGGGTTCCAACCCACCATAAGACCTACTTCACGACTCCCACTGATGTCTGCTGTCGTTGTGTTCTTGGGCAAGACACTTTGCCTGAAGCCCCCGCTGAAAGATCAAGGCTCCTGTGGCCTCGCCACCCGCAGAGGACCAGTGAGGGGCTGGTGCTCTGTGAATTGGGTGCAGCTCTGACTTACACCCCCTGTCCCAGAAATTGATTAAGGGGAAGAAATGTGGATGGAATAAGTCAATAATTTGTTTTTTTTTATTACATAGTGAGATCAGATTTAACAATTTATTAAATGTTTTGGTTGGTTTCCGGAGAGAATTAGCTTTATAGCAAGGTATAACATTCTAAAGTAGGCCATTACCATCAGTAATGGCCACAATAACCATCATTTCAGGGACCACTGATATTTAATGAAAATGAGTTCGACAGACCTGCTGTAACTTATGAAGGATCTTTTCTGATTGGTTCAGATCCCACTGGCAAAAGACTTTGCGTCTCTGATGGGGCCAAGTGCTGGAGTGGGATTTTTCTTAGGTGAGTGGTTCAACACACTATAACGGTGGGTTAAAGTGGGTATAGTGTCAAAACTACATTTCATTTAAAGATGAAGCACTGATTCATGTAAGGAAGATAGAACTCACAGGCTGATCCTGATCCTCATGTTTGCGCATGCTCATTTCTGTGCATGCTCTGCTGCAACGACACAGCCTGTCCTATTAAGATGGAAGTGGGAACATTTTAGTTTTGTCTCTTGAGCCATAGCGGCTCTAAACAGTCTGTCATTTCGCCCTTGTTCCTGTATTGTATGTGTTTCCCTCTGTGTTTTTTTTGGTGTATCTTGTGTGTATTGATAGTGACCCTCGGAACAATAAAGGTTTATCTATCAATCTATCTTTCTCACTTCGATCTGTGTTTCAGGGATGGCACAGGTGTCTGTCGTGACGATCTTAGGTCACCTTGTGGATATTCGTCACGTCTCAGTTTACGGCAGCGTCTATGCCATAGGGGACATGGCTGTGTGCTTAGCCTACACTGTTGGTAAAGCCCTGGTCCAAACAACTTTTCACAAATTCACAATGTTTGCGTTGTGCACTGAAAAACAAGGGAGTTTCTGTAGAAGGTTGTTTTGAGCTCATTCATACATTAAGCTACTTCTCCACAGCATAATTTTGTGGACAAATGTGTGAAAACAGTCTCTCTTTACATCTTGCTGATCTTCTTGCAGAATGAAAATATTCTGCAACAAAACAAAGCAGGAGATGTGCTGCAGATCATAGACTGTAGAAAGAGTGGAGCTGACCTGCTCACTTAATCTTGTGCAATATGGAAGTGCTCATGGACAACGTTTGGGCCCCCTTTTACTTACATTGAAAAGTAAATCTCTGTAACCTTTTGTGTCAAACTCGCCATTTTATGGTTACAAAATCCATGGTTTAGCACTCCCTATGATGGTGTTTTCACTCAGTGCAGCAAATGCCCATATAAGAAATTTGGTCCCAATCTTGCCAAGATGGCTGCCATCGGCCAACACTATGGGTGACGTCAGTCTATGTTCCACAATCGAATGCTCTCTTCACCAATGATGTGTTCTCAGGGCCGCTGGCAGGAGGCGCTCTGGTGCCAGCGGTGGGGTTTTCAAACGTCCAGATGATATTTGGAACCATCTTAATCCTGTTTGCACCACTCTGCATCTTCCTGCGCAACCCCCCCACTACAGAGAACCGGGTGAGAGCAGGACTAAACCAGGACTGAACTACAAAGCTCTACTTAACCTTAAGTTTCTCAAACTAGTGAGACAAACGCATGTTGATGTTGACCTTTTCAACATATTTCAACTGTTAAAGAAAATACTATAATAAAACACAGGGGTGGACTCCCTTTAGCATTCTATATTTACCAGGTTTTTCATGTAGGCCCTTGTGGACCAAGAGGTGCCCCCTGGAAGCTCAGACGTGGATAAAGACCATGGAGTTTCCACAGAGTGAATGCAGTGATCCTGAGACGCAGCCATCGTCCACAGACTGGATGTACAGTATACACACTTACATAAGAAGGGTGATATGTCAAAGCACCCGGTTGCTTTAAAACTCTCTTCGCCGTTGCTAGCATTGATTGGCTTCCTTTTGCTGGAGCTAAACAAATGATGATTGTTGACGGGGAACTCTCCCTGCTCCCTCTAGGACAGGTTGGCGCCTCAGATGAGCTGTGGACAACTGACAAGCTTCAGCAGTACTGCTCTTTTAAGCCCTCCAAACCAAAGAGACTGGCTTCTCTCACTATGGCTTAGTGATAATAGCCTTCAGCTGAACACCAGTAAAACAGAAACTCTAGTTGAAGCCCTGGACAGTATTGTGCATCTCATTACCCTGCACCTTGGCAACCTAAGCAGCTCCATAAGAGAAGTCTGAGGAACCTTGGAGTTTGTCCCTAGAACAACAAACCAAACAGATGATCAAAAAATTCCATTTGTGCAACATCTCTAAGCTCAGACATACGGTCTAAGGTCACAAGCTGGAGGTTTTATGGACTGTTGTATCATACAAATCTGTATTTTATTTTGCAAGTGTATTTTATTTTTTGCAAGTAGTCAGTTTAAAATAAATTCAGTAGTTTTCACTGACGAAAAAGTGACTCATCATTGTGTATTAGGTTGACCAAATGTGGACGTCTAGTTTTGTTTTTCAAAAGTTAGACTTTTGTAGATGCGGTTTATGCAGGAGAACATGGCTGCTCCATGTATGTGCTGTAATTACCACACATTTATGGGAACACACACACCACACCACACCGCACGCACGCGCGCACGCGCACACGCACACGCACACGCACGCGCACGCACACACACACAAACACGCACACGCACACGCACACACACACACACACACACACACACACACACAGTATATCCTACTACTTCAAATCCTGCTGTTTTGAAGTGAATGAGGCTTCCTTCCTGTCTTTCCCTCAACATGTGTTTAAAAGGAGAGTAATATCGCGTTGGAGTTACTGACACTTTTAAAACCCCAAAGTGCAGCATCCGACATGGTGCATTCTCCTTTTTTCCTTTGAAAGTAGACATTAGGGCATGGGTTAAAGGAGAAATATTTTTTTTAACTTGAGTACATTGTTTCTCTTTGAAATACACACCTGAAGTTTGTATTGTTTTTAGATCCATCCATGCTAAATTCAGAAAAAAAAATAATAATCATAATTGGTTTTGGCAATTTCTCAAGGGGACATTCTTTACAATCACAGTCTGTGTTTGCAGCTGGTAATTTTCAAATTTGAAAAAAACAAAACAAATTCAACTTCTCCCTCTGGTAGCGCAGGTCAATATCATGTTTTACCCTTCATACCACCATATATTTTCTAATAGAGAGATGAATTCTAAAGCATGAAAGGTCAAAGAAAATAGACTCATTATCCTTTTTAATCCCCAAAAACAAAGCGTAATATTTCTTCTTGAAAATAAGTGGAAGAAGCCCGGAGGAATCAAAACCAGGAATGCTAATGCTTCGCGTCTTTCTATAGGATTAACTATTCTCCTGCAGCAAATAATACTGGTGGTGTTTTGGTTATATCATTTAAACATAATCTAATAATACAGGGTTTTTTGGTTATATCATTTAAAAATAATCTAGGGCCAGATGATATGAATTATGATTATTTTTTTGAAGAAATACAACTGAAGTTACTGGCAGCATTATATGTTCACACGTTTTGGTCTGGACTCTAGATTCAGAAGCAAATCAGTTCCTCAGATGAAGTTACTGCTGAGACTACTGAGACGCAGAATGTGAGACGGGCTTCTCTGACAATGTTCAAAACCAGGTTAAAAACAGTTCTGTGTAGCTGTGCATACAACTGAGGGGTTGTGTATTCTCTTTGTAATGTGCTGTGATTACTTATTGTTGTTATGTTAAGCACTTTAAGATAAGATAAACTTTATTGATCTCACAATGGAGACAGTTTCTTTGAGTTGCCTTGTGTATGAACTGTGTTTTACAAATAAACTTGCCTTGTGTAATAGCTTGCGTTCATGTTCTAGGGTTGTGTTTCAGTTGGAGGGCGGGTGCCGATACTATTCTATGGGAAAGAAGCAAAAAAAGGTTTTCCAAGATCCATAATTTATTAGGGATTAGATATTTGTATTGTGTCTGAAAGTTTGTTCTGGGGTCAACATCAAACTGGTGGGTTTTTTTTTGTAAACTATTGTCCCAATTTCTAAACACCTTGATGAGATGTGTACTGACAAAGAAGAGGTGGAACTTAGTGAGCATTTTTGTTTTATATGGATTGGCCCAGGATTTACAGAGTTGTATAACAACCTATTTGCCCAAATCATATCAGTCCGCTGTCAGAACACCCCCAGAGGCTGTTATAGTAATGTACAACGCAAATAATTGGATACAGAAGAAATCTACGTTGTATATACAGAATTTGAATTATTTGTATTGCCGTTGAAAGTAACAGGAAGTCACAACCACGCTTAAAATAGTTGAACTTTGTCCCACAAATTTGATATTTTTAAGTTCTGTCCACAGTTTGACTTTGGAAGGTGAGATT